CTCAATTGTCCCTGGAGATATCAAGCTATTTCTGAGGCAACTCTTTGGGCTTGTTAATGTATTAATTGGCAAAAAGAAGCCTCTCAGGGAACAAAAGCCTGAGTCTGTTTATACCTCTGAATTTCCTATCTCTCTCCCTTTGATATCTCCCTTGAATGTGATAAAGAATAGTCAATTTAAGTGGCTCAAGTGACTCTTTTACATTTATAGAAGACCACACTTGTATATAAAAGGGGATCTGGGTAATCGGTAACTAAGCTAAAGGATAGGAAAAAGCCACAAAGGAAAGATCCTATAGCAGGTGTCCCCAAACTACGGCCGGGGCTGCATGTGGCCCCCTGAGGCCATTTATCTGGCCCCCCGCCGCACTTCAGGAAGGGGCACCTCTTTCACTGGTGGTCAGTGAGAGGAGCACAGTATGTGGCGGCCCTCCAACGGTCTGAGGGACAGTGAACTGGCTCCCTGTGTAAAAAGTTTGGGGACGCCTGTCCTATAGCCTTAGAGAGACCATATGATTTATCACCTAAACTAGAATACTTTAAAGAGTTTAGGGAGGCTGGGCATGGTGGCTCACACCTGTAGTAGTCCTAGTTACTTGGAAGAATGAGGCAAAAAGATTCCTTGAGCCCAGGAGGTTGGGTCTGATTGCAGTGAGCTGATTTCTGGACTGCACTCTAGCCTGGGAGATGAAGTGAGGTCCTGTCTTTAAAACAAGCAGACAAACAACCCCCCCCCACCCCCCGCCACCATGCCCTCCCTAAAAAGAAAAAACCACAAGAAGATTTTCTTTTGGCACACACACGTTTTGATAAGTTTCTTAGCTATATCTGTCTCTAATATCGTGTTACTGGTATTTTTCTGAAAAATGTATTTTTTTCAATATGCTCTTTTGTTTTAAGTTTTTTCATAAAACTGCCTGCAATCTGTCTCACAGTTGCATTTTATGGTTAACAAATGTAACATTACAGACATCTTTAATTGTTTTTTTCTCTGTAGATCATGTCTACCTAAAAGGAAGAAATGTAGGCAAAATATGGAGCGGTCATTTGGGCCACGGTTGAGAACTGCAGCCTGGGACACACTTCCAGGTTGCCTTGAAGAGTACTCCGGAGAACAAAGGGGAGGCTCGAATTTTTTAAGAAAAAAGGATGAATCAGGAGAGGGGGTGATTGCAAAGTTGTTTGTCAGTAATTCTCATTGGTTTAAAGAAATAACATTGGGCCTGGTGTGGTGACTTACACCTGTAATCCCAGCACTTTAAGAGGCTGAGGCGGGTGAATAACTCGAGGTCAGGAGTTCAAGACCAGCCAGGCCAACATGGTGAAACTCCGTCTTTACTAAAAATACAAAAATTAGCTGGGCATGGTGATGTGGGCTGGTAATCCCAGCTAATTGGGAGGCTGAGGCAGGAGAATCACTTGAACCCGGGTGGCGGAGGTTGCAATGAGCCGAGATCACACCACTGCACTCCAGTCTGGGTAACAGTCAGACTCTACCTCAAAAAAAAAAAAAAAATTGGGAGGCTGAGGCGGGTGGATCATGAGGTCAGGAGTTCAAGACCAGCCTGGCCAAGATGGTAAAACCCCATCTCTACTAAAAATACAAAAATTAGCCAGGCATGGTGGTGGGCGCTTGTAATCCCAGCTCCTCAGAAGACTGAGGCAGAGAAATGCTTGAACCCGGGAGGTGGAGGTTGCAGTGAGCCGAGCGAGACTCTGTCTCAAAAACAACAACAACAAAGCCAGCAAGGGAGTTTCTCTAGAGCAAACTAGCAAGATGGAATCTCGTATCGATATCATAATCTAATAATGGGAGTTATAGCTCATCATTTTTGCCACATTCTATTGGTTAGAAGCCAGTCATAGGTCCAGCTCACATTCAAGGGGAGGGAATTATAGAAAGATGTGAACACAGCTGGGCGCGGTGGCTCATGCCTATAATCCCAGCACTTTGGGTGGCTGAGGCAGGTGGATCACGAGGTCAAGAGATTGAGACTATCCTGGCCAGCATGGTGAAACCCCATCTCTACTGAAAACACAAAAATTAGCTGGGCGTGGTGGTGCGTGCCTGTAGTCCCAGCTACTTGGGAGGCTGAGGCAGGAGAATCGCTTGAACCCGGGAGTCGGAGGTTACAGTCAGCCGAGATGGCGTCTGGTGACAGGGAGACTCTGTCTCCACAAAAAAAAAAAAAAAAAAAGAAATGTGAACACTAGAGGGCAAAGATCATGGACACCACCTTAGAATTCTTCCCAGTGTTCCCTGGGAAATGGCTCTGAGATTGAGATTTGTATGTAGGTGTATTACTGGGGATTGCTTCTGGGAACAACACCTGTAAAGGAGTAAGGAAATCAGATTTGGATAGAGAGGGAGAAGTTTTAATACAGGTTTCAGTCAACCCCATAGACAGTTCTGAAGCAGAGTTGGTCCTTTAGAGATGTCCTGAAAGGAAGCAAGGAAGCCAGGCCTTTGGAACTGCATTGAGCAATCACTGATGGATGCCCCTGGTAAGTGAGTATAACATTAGGCAAGGCAGCTTCCTTCAACAGAGGGTAGTTTCTGGGGGGAGACTCAGCTGTGAGCCATCAGCAACCAATACTCCCAGCAGCTAAGAATGAGTGCCTCAGTTCCGAAAGAGGGAATCTGAGGGACATATCACCTGTCCCTGCTCAGTCCCTGCCTGCAACCAATAAGGCTGGTGGCAGGCCAAGTTTTCATTTGTATAGGAGTATAATTTTGTAACTTCACTTCAGCCTCTCATTGGTTGCTTTATGCCACCGATCAGACTGATCATGGGCCACTACTTCATTTCCATGGGGTGTACACCAAACGACCAATGGGAAACCTCTAAACGGTATTTAAACCCCAGAAAATTCTGTAACCAAGTTCTTGAGCTGCTTGCTCAAGCCTGCTCCCACCCTTTGGAGTATACTTTTGAAACAGACTCTTCAAATATTATAACTGAGGAAATTATGACAGTGAAAAGGATCAGACCTACCCTATCTTCTTCTAACCTCTAAAGTGTCTTTGCTCATTCCTGGGTATAGGCCAAACTAGCCTTGGGAAGGAATTTATAAACTCTGAAACAAAATTGATAATAGCCCTTTCCCTTTCTTACCTGGGGACCAGTCTGCCTTTGTAGGACTAACAAATTAGGTACAAGATTAGAAATTACGTTTTAGGGGCCATACAGCCTCTGGCTGCAAGAGTCTGAACCTCCCCAAATTGCTCTTCGAATAACATCACTGTTGCAAAACCTAAGATCAATGCTTGAGATATTTTGCAGACCCTGCATCCTGATGTAGAGCATGACACCACTCATACTGATACTCTGACTCAACTAGTTCTGGTGATCCCACCTAGGAAGAACTCACTTCAGCAAGAACAACTCACTTTTACCCCCTGTGATTTTATCTTCAACCCGACCAATCAACACTCCCCGCGTTCCGAGCCCATGCCCCTCAAATTATCATTAAAAACTCTGATCCCGGAACGCTCAGGGAGACTGATTTGAGTGATAATAAAACTCTGGTCTCCTGCACAGCCATTCTGCGTGAATTACTCTTTCGCCATTGCAATTCTCCTGCCTTGATAAATTGGCTATGTCTAGGCAGCGGATAAGATGAACCCACTGGGCGGTTACACTTTTGTTTTCAATAAATGTCTGCCTTTATTGCTTCATTCTTTCCTTGCTTTGTGCGTTTTGTACAATTCTTAGTTCAAAACACCAAGAATTTGGACACCATCCACGGGTAACAGGACTACAAGCACGGCTAATTTTTTGTATTACTTTTTTTTTTTTTTTGCTCTTTTTAGCAGAGGTGGGGTTTCGCTATGCTGCTCAGGCTGGTCTCGAACCCCCTGGCTCAAGGAATCCGCTGGCCTTGGCCTCCCAAAGTGCCAGGATTAAAGGCATCAGCCACAATGCCTGGCCCACTAAACTCTGTGCATTAGTTACTTCATTTGCTTAACGAGGATGACAGTACCCACTTTGGCGTTTTGTGAGCATTAGTTAATATATGAAAAATGCCATATGTGTTTGCCATTAGCATCAATCACGCCATAACCAGAAAAATTACATTGCATTTTTGAGTTAAAAATGATGGGGGCCAGAGTGGACCTAGGCCTTTTCCGACTTCAGAGAGGTCTTTACTGTTAAGTAAGTCTTTTTTTTTTTTTTTTTTGAGACAGAGCTTTTTTGTTCTTGTTACCCAGGCTGGAGTGCAATGGCGCGATCTCGGCTCACCGCAACCTCCGCCTCCCGGGTTCAGGCAATTCTCCTGCCTCAGCGTCCTGAGTAGCTAGGATTACAGGCACGTGCCACCATGCCCAGCTAATTTTTTGTATTTTTAGTAGAGACGGGGTTTCACCATGTTGACCAGGATGGTCTCGATCTCTTGACCTCGTGATCCACCCGCCTCGGTCTCCCAAAGTGCTGGGACCACAAGCCTCATGAGCCACCGCGCCCAGCCACTGTTAAGTAAGTCTTAAGTAGCAGAATTCCATGAAGGGAGCCGGGAAGCTAGGGTTTTTCAAAAGGAGGGGGTATTTGCGCCGATGCCTGGTAGAGCGGCCAAGAATTCCAGGGGTTGGGGGTGGTGCCTTTTCCAAGGCAGTCCTGGGCTTGCGCAGGGCTGCTGCTGCTCCGGGCGCGGTTCCGGGAAACGCAGCGGCGCCGACCTTGGGCCTAAAACACTCTCCACGTCAGTTCCCACCGTCACCCGGATCTTCGCCACTTCACCCCCCGACGCTGCATCCCGCTCCTCCCCTAGGTCGGGAAGGTTCCTTACGGTTCGCGGCGTGCCGGACGTGACAACTGGAGGCCGCACGTCTCACTTGTACCCTCGCAGATGGACAGCGCCAGGGAGCAATGGCAGCGCGCCGACTGCCTTGGGCCATGGCCAATAGCGGGTGCTTCTCACGGCGCGCCAGGAAGGGGCGGTGCGGGAGGCGGGGCATCGGGGGGCGGTGCGGCCTAAGTTCCTGCCTGCGCGGTGTTCGGCATTCTGCAGGAGTACAGAGCGCACGTCCGCAGCCGGCTCTCTCGCTCTCTGAATCTCCGAACTCTCTCCCGGCTGTATTTCCAAAATGTCTCTTTCTAACAAGCTGACGCTGGACAAGCTGGACGTGAAAGGGAAGCGGGTCGTTATGAGGTAATTCTGCACGTTTGCCCGCGTGCCGTGTGTGTTCTGTCGCAAACCTTTTTGGCCCGAGCCGACTTATTCTCTTGTTTGCCCTAAATTGCTTTTAGCTTTCGGCTGGGCCCCAGGAGTCCTAGGCTCGGAGGGCGAGGCTGCTCACAGGTTTGGTGGTTTCTAGCCGCATTTCCCAGCCCAGAAAGCCGCCAAAGTCACCTTTCGGGGATGGATCCCACCAAGGAAGGGCTGAGATTGCTGCTGGGACCCATTTTGTCTTTTTTTCCTATTGCTGAAATGCAGTTCCGTTGCCTTCACCTCCCAGTCGGCAAGATGGGACTTAAGGCTTATTCCACAAATCTCTAGGCTTCAAGGAAGGGACCTTGAAAGGTCATTTTGTTAATTTGCCTTCCCCCACTGCCCTAGACCGTCCCAGACAAATGAGAAACGGCCCACATCTCACAGGTCTCTGCACAAAAGATCGTTTCCAAGAGGATGTTGGTTTAACTGTTCAGGAGTAGACCTCTTGTCCCGCGTCGCTGAGTAACTGGGGTGGGAGGGTAGGGCGGGGCGCACCGGAGGAGGCCCTGCAGAGCTTATGTAACAGGCCTCTGCTGCCCTGCAGTGTCATAACGTTGGACTCTTGGCCACAGGATTTGCATCAGGATTGTGACATACTAGGTAATGGTAGAGCAGGGTGTGGCTGCTCATACTTGCTGGCCTCCAACCGCATGGCCACGTGTGGCTAGAAAGGCGGAATATTGAGGCAGGGGAGGGTTCCTCGTGCACTTTGGGTCTCTTGCTCTGCTCGTGTGGCTCTCTGGTCACTTACCAACATGGCTTCTCTCTTACCTGCCAGAATTGTTAGTATAGTGTGGAGCTTTTACATTTATCCTTTTTGTCACGTGTGGTATAATATTTGTGCATACCAGGAGCAAGGTGCAGGAGGATGATGTGGTATGTAACTGATGGACTTGACTGTTCATGTACCTTAACAGGATCCAAGAGTGCTGTTTTTGAGGGGCCATAAAGGTTTGTGTTGATAGCATTTTCCAGCCTTGACCTTTTCGGGTAGTGGTTGATTGATGGGGAGGCATGTGGCTGGTGTAATCTAGCCCCTTTCCCAATTTGGGCCGGTTCAAATGAGGGTTTGTGCTGGGTATTAACAGACACATAAGTCAGTAGGGGAGCTCCTTTTATTCTAGCTTTAACATATGAGGACACGTTTGAGTTAGGAAACTGTATGGGTGCCCTAAAAGTACACGTAGCTCTCTCCTTCACTCTAATTTCGTTTTGGCCAATATTATGTTGCAGGTAACCTTCTCTGCCCTGCTGTGGAGATGGAAGAACCCAATAATTTATGTCCATGAAAAATACCTGGTTTCCATATTTCCCCAAATGACATAGGCCTTTGTAATCTGGACAAAGTAGGAATCACAGCCATGTTAGTACTAGAGGAATGCCCTTTCTGGCCCTCATACAATCCTAAAAAAGGGGATAGACTCTGTAAAAAACAGGACAGGTGGACATTGGCATGCAACTAGCTGTTAGGTTTTAATTAGTTTCTCATATCTCCACTGTGTTCAAGGCTGACCTTTCCAGATGCATGAACTAACTAAAAGACAGGGAGTGGGACATCATGCTGATCATCTTCCTATAATTGCAGTCTTGGGCTTTATTTCCTCCCTCTCTAGGGAAACTGGCTTGAGGAAGCTAGCTGGGGGTGGGATTGGAGGAGCTGCTTAACTTTTCTCCCTCTGGACCTAATGAAGTTTCAATTAACACACACTAACCCCAAGCCTTGAAATGATAGGCACGTCCTGTTTTGCTGATGGAAAATGACCTGTTCAAGGCTACTGAACTACCAAGTTGGTAGCAGAGTGAGGACTAGAATTTGGGTTTCCTTGGCTATCAACTAGATCATCTGAATACTCGAGGCCAAGGGTACGTTGAAATAGACCTTTCTTCTGTAATCTGGATACCCCCTACTTACTGAGGCTGAGGACAGGAAGTTACATCATTCCCTGATTATTAATGTATTTCTTTTGAACAGAGAGTCACATTGTAGGCCTACTCTTTTGGAGGCCCCTAGGCAGCCATGCAGTGTCAGCTCAATTCCTTTTTGTTTCAACGTGGTGATTGCTGGCAGTGCTTCCATAATGGGGCTTCCTGAGTAGTGGCTGCCTTATTTGTCATCTTTGTCCTGCAGAACTGAACTCGGGTATTTGCTGACTCTTCTGGTCCATTGATTTGGATTGCCAAGGGAAATTGATTTGTTGAGGGAACATGGGATAGCCAGAAACCTCTGACTTGTTAATTACCAGGTTCCACCTTAGTGTTTTAGGATGCCAGAAACCTCTGACTTGTTAATTACCAAGTTCCACCTTAGTTTTTTAGGACTTCAGTTGACGTTACAGCCTCTTTTGAATACACTTCTGCTTATTTTTCCAGTCATTTCTTTTTTTTCCTCTCATAGGTTGCCAGTCATCTGTTGCGTGCTTGTAAAGCACTTCCTTTTTGCTTGCTCCCAACTTTTTTTTTTTTTTAAACCTCATTGGTTTTCTTTAACTTGTTGTAACTTGTAAAGGAACTGCCTTGGTGTAGTGGGAAGAGAAACAGGAAGAAATTGAGAGCAGAGGAAAAAAGTCTCTTAAGACAGCCATAAATAATAGCCCAGTTTTCCAGTTAGGGGAAGTGAAGCATTGATGGACATGGTTCCTTTGAGAGTTTTTAATGGAAATGGACCTGGGATCTGAGATTTCATGTGATAGAGACTTGATATTCTTATTCCAGCTAAATCAGTGTATTTTTTAATGTTTTATTTTGAAATAATTAAAGATTCACAGGAGGTTACAAAGTTAGTAGAGTGGTCTTGTGTTCACCCATTTTCCCCCAAACGGTGCATCTTACCTAATTACAGTACAATATCAAAAGTAGGAAATTGACATTGGTATAAAGTGTGTATACTTCTCTGCCATTTTATTACATGTGTAGATTCGTGTGACCACCACCACAATCAAGATACAAAACTATTAGATCACCACCCAACAAGATCTCCTTCATGCCACCCGATTATAGTAATAACCCGCCCCCTTCCTAACTCCTGGTAACTACTGATCTGTCCACTGTTTCTAAAATTTTGTCACTTCAAAAATACTATACAGATAGTATCATATGGTATACCCTTTTGGGATTAACTTTTTTCACTTAATATCAAAATTTATCCACATTGTCACATGTATCAACAGTTCATTTCTGTGTATTGCTGAGTAGTATTCCATGGTATTGATGTGTCATAGTTTGTTTATCCATTAAAGGATATTAGGGTTGTTTCCAATTTGGGGCTTTAGAAATAAAGCCTCTGTGAACATTTGTATACAAGTCTTGGTATGGACATATGCTGTCATTTTTCATGGGTAAACACCTAGGAGTGGAATTATTGGACCATATCCTTTTGAGGTATCCCCAGACTATTTTCCAAGGTGGCTGCACCATTTTACATTTCTATCAGCAGTATGTGAGTAACTAGTTTCTCTGCATCATTACCAGCTCTTGGTGGTGCCATTATTTTTTATTTTAGTTATTCTTTGTTCAGATGGATATGTAGTGATAACTGACTTTGTGCCTGAAGCAGAGCTCAGGTGTGTTATAAGGAAATGAAAAGAAAAAGGAAAATGTGCATATTTTATGTAAAGTGGAACAAGTAGAATGTGTAAGCAAGAGCAGTTCCTGTGTTGGAGTACTCAGAGGAGAAGCTAAAAGCAAAGCTGTTGTGAGTGCAAGAGATGAGGGGAGGTAATCCAGAGGGCACTGAGGAGAGAGTATATAACAAGTCTAATTCATTAGTAACTGACACCATGGCAGCTTGGATAGACAAGACAGATTCTTAGGTGTCTCTGCCCAAAGATATTCCTTCCTGTAAGGGTTGGGAGTAGAGAGTAGTACTGCAAGAAGTGGGGTGTGCCCACCCTTTTTCCATTAGTCCTTTTGAGCATAGGTCTTCTGGGAGGTTGCATGGGGGAAAATGACCCATGGTAATGGGATACTCTCTCTTTTCTTTGGAATGTACTTTAAGGCTGGCAGGCTCCTTGTTCAGGATATTTAAAGAAGTTGCTTAGAGAATCAAGTGGCCTGAAAGTGGAGTGTATTTCTTTCATCAGAGGCATACTGCCTTTAATTTTGAACACTTTAAAAAATGTTTTAATATAGATTTCCCTCAACCTACCTTTGGAAAGGCTGTTCTTCCGTGAGGTAGATTGGAATTCAGGCCTAGTGGGTATGGGAAATTGGGGATCTTCTCAGTATGTCTGTAGGAGTCTGTAATTGCCTTAGCCTTATAGAGGAAGGGGTATTTTAAAAGGCAGAGGAAAAAGATGAAGGCTTATAATCAAGGATAGCAGCAATCTCCTTGATTAGGTCATACTTTACTGTAGTCCCTTTGTAAGTGATGCTAGCTGTTGTGGTTGATTACTTGTCAAATCGCAGAATTACATTTTGGAGAAACATATAACAACAGCTAACACTTTTACGGCACTTACTGTGGGTCAGGTACTCTTCTAAGCACTTCACAAATTGTGAACTTACTTAATTCTCAATAACTATGAGGTAGATACTGTCATCCCCATGAGAAAAAAAATCATTTAAAAATGATCTTGGCAGGCAAAACTCTTGGACCTTAAAAATAGCTGCCATGCATTATTGTTTTCATTCACATTGAAGTAGGCTGAGGTTCCAAGGAGTTCAGAATAATTGGTTCTTAAGAATGGTAAAACAGTAATCTGTTGGGTAAGAGAGACTGCAGTACATTATTTTCTTGTGTCATCTTGATTACTTCCCTTCTAATTTGCCTTTTTGTCAGGTGGACTGGGGCACATGTCCCACCCTGTCTTCTCAGGCTTTTTGAAAGATGCTGTCTTATGTTGTATGTATATTGCTTGAAAGATATTGTGTGAACTTTGTACTAGACACTGGGTTTCTTCTCCCTAGTCTTAAGGCCTCAGACTTTCTTCATAAAGAATGATTTTCTCTTAATGTGTTTTGTTTTTCCAGTTAATTTTCTTCTTTTGAGTCATGTTAATTTCACAAGGATGCAGAAATAGTATCAAATGAATAGGATCAAGATGCATTCCTTATTATTCATCACCCCTCCAGCTGCTACTCAGATACTATCGTGCCAGGCCCAGGCAGACATCTTTTTAGATGGAACTGGTGGCTTTAGCTTCTCAGATCATTCAGGGCTAGTTCCTGTGATTTAAGTTAGTTTTTTTTTTTTTTTAATTCTTTTTAAAGTGTGAGATACATACCTAAAAGAGCACAAATTACAAGCTCAAAGAATTACCACAAAATGAGCATATTTGTATGATCACTGAGGTTAAGAGATAGAACATTATCGGAACCCCAGAGCCTTTGGTGTTTCATTCCAGTCACCACTCCCTCCATCTCCCCATGACTAAGCACTATTTTGACTTTTAATGCCACTGATTATTTTTAAGATGAGATTTGGATTTCCAACTTATTTAACTGGTTCCTTAAAAGTGCATCTCCTAATCTTTGATGGAACAATAATTTGATCATGGCTCTGAATCTTTCTTTTTTAGAGTCGACTTCAATGTTCCTATGAAGAACAACCAGATAACAAACAACCAGAGGTAAGGTCCCTGCTAAGCCTTGAGCTGGGTATAGGATGTGTGTAGGTACATAGGGTGAAATGGTTTTCCTTTCATATTGTATTATAGAACTGGAGCAATTTAAGACATGTGATTTTGACTTTCTATCAACCCAGTATCTGATCTGCTTTCTTATTTATGAGAATATTCAAATATAAGCAAAATCTTAAGAAAGTGATTCCCCTCCCCTTGTTTTTTGAAAATTAGAAGAATTTGGAGTTCACTGTCTTTTCTTGAGACAGGGTCTTGCTCTTTCACCCAGACTGGAGTACAGTGGTATGATAATGGTTCACTGCAGCCTCAACCGTCTGAGCTCAAGCAATCCTCTGGCCTTAGCCTCCCGAGTAGCTGGGACAACAGGTGTATGCCACTACGCCTGGTTAAATTAAAAAAAAATTTTTTTTGGTAGAGATGGGGTCTCAGTATATTGCCTAGGCTGGTCTCAAACTCCTGGACTCAAGTGATCCTCCTGCCTTGGCTTCCTGAAGTGCTGGGATCACAGGTATGAGCCACCATGCCTGGCAGAGTTATTCATTTTTAAAGAATATAAAAGTTGGCTGGGTGTGGTGGCTCACACTTGTAATCCTAGCACTATAGAAGGCTGAGGCAAAAGGATTGCTTGAGGCCAATAGTTTGAGACCAGCCTGGCCAACATAGTGAGATACCATCTCTATAAAATACAAACACATAAAAAGAATATAAAAGTTCAAGGTTACTTGGCTTCTCTTGCAAAATGAAGAACTATGTAAAAGAAGGATTTGAAAAGTACCAGTAGTTATTAAGGTTACATATAGTTTTACAAGCCCCTGTTCCAGATGGCTCAGATAAAATCAGTTTTTGAGAATTTTCATTTGTTTTTGCTTCCAAAAGACAGAAAAGACTTCAGAAGTACATTTTCAGTCAGTTTAGCTGCTCCAACATCTTGGATCCTAGATTTAGAAACAGAAATTTTAAGTGAGAGTACTGCTCTTGCTTTTGACTAGATTGTAAAAGATTTTTATTTATTTTTGTCTTTATTTTCTTTTTAATTTTTTACTTATAGATTACATATATTTATAGGTCACATGAGATTTTGATATAAGCATGCAATACATAATAATCATATCAGGTTAAATGGGGTATCCATCAAGAAGGTTTTTATTTCCTTTTTTTTTTTTTCTTTTTGCCTCTTTCTGTCACCTAGGCTGGAGTGCAGTGGCATGATCTTGGCTCACTGCAGCCGGTCTCCTGGGCTCAAGCAATCCTCTCATCTCAGCCTCCCAGGTAGCTGGGACCACAGGCATGGGCCACCACACCTGGCTACTTTTTTGTATTCTTTTTTGGTAGAGATAGGGTTTCGCCATGTTGCCCAGGCTGGTCTTGAACTCCTGGACTTCACCTACGTTGGCCTCCCAAAGTGCTGAGATTACAGGCATGAGCCCCTGTGCTTGGCCTGTTTAAAAATTTAAATGAAGGGTTTGTGCTGGCAAGGTGCTTTCCAATGACCTAGACCAGTGCTCTCTAATAGAAATATAATGTGAACCAAATAATTAATTAAATTAAAGGGACATTTAACTTTTTTTGTACTAAGTCTTCAAGATCTGTTATGTGTTTTTATACTTATAGCACATCTCAATTTGATCTAGTTATATATCTAGTACTCAATGGACATACATGACTAAATAACTATTGGACAGTGCAAGTCTAGACCCAGAAGCCCTTCAGATATTGGTCCCAGAATAGAGCCTGTCGTTTTGTCAAGTACTTCCATGCTGCACCATAGTGGCAGGGTCTTTTTACAGGCAGATCTGATCCCTCTTGATCTTCATTATTATGCAGCACACAGAAAAGATTAGAAATATGCCTGTCAAAGTATTTTAAGAGTAAAGAGCAAAGAAACATGTTAGGAAATATTTTCATTTCCAGAAATCCATGGAGTTGATTAATAAAATGAAGCATTAGAAATAACGGAACTTGGCCGGGCGTGGTGGCTCACGCCTGTAATCCCAGCACTTTGGGAGGCCGAGGCGGGTGGATCACGAGGTCAAGAGATCGAGACCATCCTGGTCAACATGGTGAAACCCCGTCTCTACTAAAAATACAAAAATTAGCTGGGCATGGTGGCGCGTGCCTGTAGTCCCAGCTACTAGGGACGCTGAGGCAGGAGAATTGCCTGAACCCAGGAGGCGGAGGTTGCGGTGAGCCGAGATCACGCCATTGCACTCCAGCCTGGGTAACAAGAGCGAAACTCCGTCTCAAAAAAATAAAAATAAAAATAAAAAAAAGAAATAAAAAAAAAAAAAGAAATAACAGAACTTGCTGATAAGGGATAGTCCTGAAAACTAATTGGTTCCATTGCACAAACTTTGTACTTGATACAGATTTTTAAAATTTGATAGAAACGAGTTCTTATATCTGCTAAATATTAATAGCATAAGATATTTGAGAAATATAACTTTTTTATCATTCAATTTTTTGCTCAAATGTTATCGCACTGTCCTGGCCATCCTGTCTAAAAATGTCCTCCACCATTGTTCCCCAATCAGAACAGTGGTTTATTTTTTCTGTATTTCACCATCTGATATATTACATGCACACACACAGACACACATATGTTTATTGTCTCTCCCCATTAGAATTACACTTCCATGAGAATAGAGACTTTTTAAAAAAGTTTTTTGTTTTATTCTCAGAACCTGGAATGATGCCTGGCACAAAAGAAGCATTCAATAAGTATTTGTTGAATAAATAAATGCTTTTCTTGATCAAGTTTAATTTCTTATAAACTGGCAAAATGGCAAGTTAGTAGCAGGCTTGTAACAAAACTTTTAAATGTTTAAAGGGAGTTAATTTTTTGATTCATTTGTAATCTAATAAATGTGATACATTGTGGAAACCAAGCTCTATACAGTACATTTATTTTGTCCTACATAAAAAAGTGACTTAGGATCTATTAATATAATAGGTGCAGAAAAGTTACTATGTGTTTTTGATTTTTCCCTAAATTTCCTTTGATGGTTTCAAGATTTGAGAATTTTATGTATTTTCCATAGTCATATAAGAAGAATGTTATAGGGGTCCCCAAGACCACCCACATGTCCCACGATGATTTGCTACGACTCAGAGTTGTTCTCATGGCTAAAGTTTATTATGGTGAAAGAATGCATGACAAGATTAGCAAGAGGAAAATACATGGGGGAGTCTGGAGAAATCCATGGGCTTCCAGTTTCCTGTGAGGGGACATGTCAAGTGTTCTCCTTTCTTCAGCAAATGCGGTAATTGTCTTCAATGTTTCTGCCTGGAGAAGCCTGCTAGAGACTCAGATCCCAAGATTTTTACTGGAAACTGGTTATGTAGGTATCTTCTGCCTAGCAACTACCAAAATTCCAAATTTAGGCTGGGTGTGGTAGCCCATGCCTGTATTCCCCGTGGTTTGGGAGGCTGAGGCCCACAGATTGCTTGAGCCCAGGAGTTCAAGAACAGCCTGGAAAACATGGCAAAACCCCTACAAAAAATAGAAAAATTAGCTGGGCATGCTGGTGTGTTTCTGTAGTCCCAGCTACTTGGGAGGCTGAGGTGGGAGGATCACCTGAGCCCCCAGGGAGGTTGAAGCTGCAGTGAGCTGAGATTGAGCCGAGATTGTGCCTCTCCTGCCTCTCCACTCCAGCCTGCTGAGTGACAGAGTGAGACTGTGTCTCAAAAAAAAAAAAAAAAAAAAATTCTAGACTGCTAGAGTGGGGAAAGTGTTTAGCATAAATCATCTTGTTTGTATAGACAGTCTAGGAACAGTGAATAGCCCTTAGTCTTGTCAGTTAACTTTGAAAGCCAAGTTCCCAGATACCAGCCAAGATCCAATTTTGAAAGCAGGTCCTTCTGTAGACAGCAGCTTCAGGCATCCTGTGTTAACTCTTTTCTGTGAAAGGGGCAGATACATAATGAGATTTTACAATCCTACATAGAGGGTTGGCATTGTATTTAACTTCTTCCCCTAAGGACCACCACTGAATTACTGATAGTAGATTTGAAGGAACTTAGAGTAGAAAAAGAGCTTTATGTTTTATAAGTTTATCAATAAACCAGTTTCCACTAATTTCTATAAGTAACTTTGTTCTGTTTGTTGTTTCTTTTTGGTTGCAGGATTAAGGCTGCTGTCCCAAGCATCAAATTCTGCTTAGATAATGGAGCCAAGTCAGTAGTCCTTATGAGCCACCTAGGCCGGCCTGATGGTGTCCCTATGCCTGACAAGTACTCCTTAGAGCCAGTTGCTGTGGAACTCAAATCTCTGCTGGGCAAGTAAGTGCCAGGCTCTGGTGCTGATAGACTTTGTGGCGGGGTAGGTTGTCAAGCATGTCGTTACTGGTTCTTAACTTTCAGACTGCTCAAGTGGCTTCATCTCTTCCTTTCCTCAGGGATGTTCTGTTCTTGAAAGACTGTGTAGGCCCAGAAGTGGAGAAAGCCTGTGCTAACCCAGCTGCTGGGTCTGTCATCCTGCTGGAGAACCTCCGCTTTCATGTGGAGGAAGAAGGGAAGGGAAAAGATGCTTCTGGGAACAAGGTAGGACCTGTGATTTTGACATTATTGAGGGAGAGGGCTTGAGTTTGTAAGAGACGGTGGTTGAAGAATAGAGAAAGCTCATTTATTTTTCCTTAGACACCTTTTATTGAAGTATACGTAGAAAAATGCACAGCTTTTACTTTGGATTATCTCAAAGTAAACACACTTGTGTAACCACTGCCCAGGTCAAGGGATAGAATCTTACCAATATCCCAGAAAGCCTTCCTTCATGTTCAGGTGGTTTTTAATTACGTTTAAAAAGTATGTGAACACCTTTGTGGTGGAAGAGTATTCAGTGAATATGATGGTCATGATGATGTCACTTTGGATTTAAGGCATTTTCTTAAGTGTAAAGCATTTTCCTTTAAATCTGTCTTTAAGATAAGGAGGTACAGGTATCACCTTATTTCATAAGGAAACTGAGTCTCAAAACACTAAGTTTCAGGAAGGCAGTCATGATTAAAGTTAGAGGCAGTGGTGCTGTTGATGGGCTTTAGAGCTCCGCCTGTTCAATCAGCAAACTTTTTCCATAAATGGCCAGATAGTCAATATTTAAGGCTTTCTGTGTTGTGCAGTGAGTTCCATCTGCATATAGTCTCTGTTGGAACTACTCACCTCTGCTGATAACTGTGCAAAAACAGTCATAGATAACTCACCAAACAGATTACTGTGGACTGACAACCTAAACGTGGCTCCTTGCAGACGATTTTGAATTTGCCCGTTGGCTACAATGGAAGCTAAAGGCATTTTTTAGTACTTTCCACTATGTTGGTCTTCAGTGTCTTAGAGAACAAGATGCTCTGAGTCTAGTATCTCAGTCCCCTTTGGCTTCTCACATTTCTTAAGGTCATTGGGAGTGCCTGCTTTCAAGCAGTTTCTTTTTTTAGCACCAAAGGTGCTGGTCTTGCCTTATCCTGCCTTTGGCATGGTCTTCCTGCAGTGTTAGGAGTCAAATGCTGACCTGTAATTTGGTGTTCTTTTAAACTAGAACTGATGATGCATGAACTGTAGGGCTTATTAGTGGCAGGAGGTAATGGGCAAATTGAAGCAAAACTTTTTATTCAGGAGATAATGAGCTATGCTAGCTTATGACTTCTTTAGTTAATTGACTTGACATTTACTATGTAATGGCTTTTAATACCTGTGATTTCAGGAGTCAGTCCCAAGTTCAAAATGGATTAAAAAAACAAAGTGAGGCTGGGCACGGTGGCTCACGCCTGTAATCCCAGCACTTTGGGAGGCTGAGGTGGGCAGATCATGAGGTCAGGAGTCCGAAACCAGCCTGGCCAACCTGGTGAAACCCTGTCTCTACAAAAAATACAAAAAACTTAGCTGAGTGTGGTGGCAAGTGCCTATAATCCCAGGTAGTCGGGAGGCTGAGGCAGGAGAATTGCTTGAACCTGGGAGGTGGAGGTTGCAGTGAACTGAGATCATGTCACTGTATTCCAGCCTGGGCGACAGAGCAAGACTCCATATCAAAAAACAAAAACAAAGTGAGGACATGAGGACGTAAACATTTTTCCTTTATCCAAAGTGCCCATGTTGATCTTTTAAGGGTCTTCTCTTTCTTCTAGTTATTTGCAGATCAAAAATGAGAAATGCGTTCTGATTGATATTTTTATTTCCATGTTACTTTTTTTCATGAAGAGCTTTCCATTTAGCCCGTTTTTCTTTAAATGACTTTTTAAAGATACAGGATCTTGCTCTGTTGCCCATGATGGAGTGCAGTGGCATGATCCTGACTCATTGCAGCCTCAAACTTGTGGGCTGAAGTGATCCTTCTACCTCATGCTCCCAAGTAGCTAGGACTACAGGTACATACCACCATGCCCAGCTGACTTTTAACTTTTTTTTTTCTGATAGAGAAATGGTCTTGCTATGTTGCCCACGCTGGTCTTGAACTTCTGGACTTCAGTGATCCTCCCATGTTGGCTTTCCAAAGTGTTGGGATTATAGGCATGAGCTACTGCACCTGGACTCCTTAACTAGTTCTTAAACAGAGGGGTTATTATGCCTTTTGGATAGAAGGGGAAATTTCACAGACAGACAGCAACTTCCCAAAGTTTACACAATGAATTAGTTTCAGAGCTGGACATAGAACTCGGTCTCCTTACATTTGAGCAGTGTTATCGTTACTACATTTGTCATCTTCCAATCACTAGTGGCAGATGTTGTTCTATTCTAGAGAGGTTATGGGAGTGCCATAGTCTTCAATTTTAGCATTAGTGTCTCTGCAATTCTTGGGGTCTTTAGGGAAAAGCCCCATTTTTTATGGCAGTCACCTTCACCTCCTTGATACATACGGGCATAGGAGAAGGCAGTGACTAAAATGAATATCTGCTGTGTGCTGTGTACTCTTCTGTGCCGTGTCCCCTTTCATCTGGCTTGCTTCTTGTGAATCTTGGCTTAATCTCCTGCCAGAGACTCTTTGTTTTGCCTATCCTCCCATCTCGCTATCTGTCCCCTTTGGAGGATCCCTTGATGGCAAGCTGATATTTTAAAGCTCTATGTTTAACTTATACATTTTCTTCCTCTCTCTTTTTGTAGAAGGATATTTCTTGTGTTCTCTGATGTCTAGCTTCCAGGGAAGGCCATAAAATACCTCTTTGTCAATGTAAAGTGTTTCTTAGGTCCTTTTCTGTTGTCATGTTTCCATCTGCTTTCTCTGTCCGAACTTGCCCTTGTTGCTTTTATGAGGAATATGTGTGGGAGTCCTTTTAATTCATAGAAAGGCCTTTAGCCAGCAGCTTGAGTCAGGTATGATACAAACTTTCACAAAGAGAATGTGTTAAAATGAGGAACTAAGTCAAGGAGAGGGAAGGATAATCAGAACCTTGAGCTGAAGGCTGGGGAGAGGCTAGTGGGATGTGGTTAACTTAATGTGATTAGACGTTAAGCCATGGTTCAGGAATATTAGGTTTGCAATTTGAGGGAAGGTAAGGGATAGCAGAAACATGCAAAAATGACCAAAGTACCTGGAATATTTGGAAGAAAGAACACATCCTATTGCTGGTTGTAAAAAATTGCTGTCTCACCTACTCGGTCTTTAGAGATGTTCAAGAGGACTCTTGGTGTATGAAATGCTTTTGTAGTTGCCTTTGGAGCCATCACATTTTCTGTTTCTGTTTTTCTCTCTAGGTTAAAGCTGAGCCAGCCAAAATAGAAGCTTTCCGAGCTTCACTTTCCAAGCTAGGGGATGTCTATGTTAATGATGCTTTTGGCACTGCTCACAGAGCCCACAGGTACCAAGAACCTTGTTCACTACCACACTGAGAACAGTATTCCTGTTTACTTGAGTAGCCCAAGCTCTGGGTTGCTTTTGGAGAGTTCTGTATTATACTGAGATCCTTTCAGCTTGTCTAATTGGAGCTACCACTGTGGCTCTTGTTGAGTATCTCTCATCCAAAGAGGAAATAAAGGTAAAAAAAAAATTGGTAACTGTAGAGCTTTTTATGGAGTTTCAGGAAGAGGTTGCTCTTTTTCACCTTAGATATTTTGTGTAGTTATCCCTTTGTGAATGTTGTAAAATCAGATGATCATGCTTTCAGTAGGAAGCCAAATTGAGGAATCCTCTTCTGCTGTCATCAACCGACCAGTTTACGTATTGTGATTAGCTCTTTGGCCTGCTGAAGAGTGTTAACTGGGTATCTTAAATTCAACCTAAGTTCATTACTTTGTACTCTTTCCCCTTGACCTTGCACTATGAGTTAAAAATTGTATCTTGTACCAAAGTGTTTTCTGTTGCAATGTAGGGATGAAAACCATGATCTTCAGTCCAGAAGTAGAAATATTTTAGTGTTAAGGAGCTGGCCTCTGGAGTAGGAGGAGTGATGGGGATTGACTAGAATTTGAATGTCTTTGGTCTTTTCTAGCTCCATGGTAGGAGTCAATCTGCCACAGAAGGCTGGTGGTTTTTTGATGAAGAAGGAGCTGAACTACTTTGCCAAGGCCTTGGAGAGCCCAGAGCGACCCTTCCTGGCCATCCTGGGCGGGTATGAAGAACTCTTTAAGATCATGCTTTAAGTATTGTTTGACTGGTAGTAGGTCATAACTTGGGCGTTTATTGTCATACAGCTCAGTCACAATGGGCTAACTGAGGAGAATTTAATAAAGGAACTACAGGCTGGGCAAGGTGTCTCACACCTGTAATCCCAGCACTTAGGGAGGGCCCAGGCAGGACGATTGCTTGAGCCCAGGAGTTTGAGATGGGCTTAGGCAACATAGTAAGATCCCATGTCTACAAAAAAAATTAGCTGGGCCATGGTGGTATCCACCTGTGGTCCCAGCTACCAGGAAGGCTGAGATGGGAGGATCACTTGAGCCTGGGAGGTAGAGGCTGCAGTGCACTTGTGATCATGCCACTGCTCTCCAGCCTGGGTGATAGAGCAAGACCCTGTTTCAAAAATAAATAAAAGAGCTACATACAGAGGTGAGGGTAGGTTTTCAGGGAAACCACAAAGGGACAGTACAGTAATTTGGGGCTAGCAACTGTCATCAGGATCTCTAGGCCTGAAGGGACAAAGGGAGGGGAATGGTTATCAGAATTCAGAGCAGATAGTTGGTGTGGACAGAGCCATCTGATGGGAACTGTAGCCTTTGGTCAAAGGACACAAGATCTGGTAGGGAGGGAGCCAGGGAAATAAGTACTGTGATCTCCTTTCAGTCTCCTGTTGCTGCACCCGCACCCCCTCCCACCCTCAACGGGCTTTGTTCTCCAACTTTCTGTAGACCTGGAATATGGGAGTGAGTGCTACCTAGTTGCCACCTTATGGTTAGGTTTTTAGATTCAGACTGACATAGCTGTTGTAGGGAAGTGGATGAGAGATTTTTTTGCTCCCTTCCTTGCAGTGTAGTTTCCCTAGGCCATTAACAGTTTTGGGGGAGAATTTTATATTTTATTAAACAAGCTTTATGGTAGAAACACTCATATATACAGAAGTTGAGAGAATAGTACTGTGAACTCCCAGGTACTTACTACCCTGTTTCAACAATTAATTGACATTTTTGCTAGTCTTATTTCTTCTATATCCTAACCTTTTTTTTGTCAGGAATGTACACACACACACACACACACACACACACACACACACACACACGTATATTCCCAACAAAGTGAATTGTCAGGAACATACGCATATTCCCGACAAAGTGAATACAAGTGAAATAAGTATGCGTGAGTACGTGCGTGCGTGTGTGTGTGTGTGTGTATGTGTGTGTATAGATACAGGGTCTCATTCTGCTGCCCAGGCTGAAGTGCTGTGGCATGATCACAGCTCACTGCAGCTTTGACCTTCCACGCTCAAGTGATCCTCCCACCTCAGCCTCCCAAGTAGCTGGGGCTACAGGCATGCATCACCATGCCCGGCTAAGTTTTGAATTTTTTTGTAGAAACAGGGTCTCACTGTATTGCCCAGGCTGGTCTTGAACTCCTGGGCTCAGGCGATCCACCTTCCTTAGTCTCCCAGAGTGTTGGGATTACAGGTGTGAGCCCATTTCCTGCTTTCAGGAATGTTTTTAAGTTAGTCTTAGACATCATATACTTTCACTTACATAGGTTGAGTATCTCTTAACTGAAATGCTTGGGACCAGAAGTGTTTTGGATTCCAGATTTATTTTTGGATTTTGGAATATTTGCATGGTACTTGTTGAGCATCCTAATCTGAAAATATGAAATCAGAAATGTTCCAATGATATTTCCTTTGCGCTCAAACAGTTTGGATCTTGGAGGATTTCAGAGTTTTGGATTAGGGATACTCAATCAGTGATACTCCTGTATTCATATTGTAACTGATAAGCAGATTTCTTTTAATCATCATATTATACCTAACAAATTAAGCAGTTTTGTTATTATCATCTAATACCCAGTCTGTATTCAGATATTCTTGATCATCTCAGGGGTGTCTTTTTATAGTTCGTTTGTTGGAATAAGGAACCAAATGAAGTCCATGCATTGCCTTTGGCTGTTAGGTATCTCATGTAATCCCCTATTTATTATTTTCACTATGTCGATTTGTTGAAGAAAGAGACATTTGAGGTGTAAGCTATTCTTTAGAAGAAATTGAGGTGCTTTCTTCCCTTCGTGTGTGTGTGTGTGTGTGTGTGTGTGTGTGTGTGTGTGTAAAACAATCCACCTATACCCTTGGTGGGGGGTGTGTGTGTGTTTATGTATTTAAAACAATCCATCTATACCCTTGGTGGTAACCAATCTTTACAAGTGAAGTAAGTAGTAAATAGTTTCTTGTCGTTGGTTCACACACATCACTGTTGTTTCATACCTCCTTTTCATAAATCCTAGCCTAGGGTCTCTCACAGGATAGGCATTATCTTGTTTATTGAATGAAGAAGGAAACAGACTCAAGGTGATCCGTCCATGTAAGTGATGTTTAGATATATGGAAATGTTTATGGAAGACAAGCTATTACTTTGTTTCTCTTTAGTTTGAATCTTTTTTCTCTCATAGGGAGATGAAAGATGCATGTGTATTTATCTTATTTTCTTTTACTAGAAAATAAGCTCCCAAAGAGTAGGGATCTTTCTTTTGCCTTTGCCCACTGATGTTTCTCAAAGACCTAGAATAGTGCTTGGCACAGAGTAGTTGCCCAGTAAATGTATTGAATTGGGTGATCCAACAAAAACAAATGCCATAAAGAAAATGTCCCAGGCTGGACATGGTGGCTTATGTGTGTAACCCTAGTGCTTTGGAATACCAAGGCAGGAGGATCCCTTGAGCTTAGGAGTTTGAGACTAGCGTGGAAAACATAGTGAGACCTTGTCTCTACAAAAAAATTAAAAAAGAAAAATTATCCAGGGGTAGTGTTGTACGCCTGTAGTCCCAGCTACTTGAAAGGTTGAGGCAAGAGGAGTGCTTGAGCCTAGGAGTTCCAGATTACAGTGAGCTATGATTGTACCACTGCACTCCAGCCTTGGCAACAGGGTGAGACTTCGTGTTGAAAAGAGAAAGAAAAAAAGAAAATGTCCTAGCAACTGAGCATAGGGTATGACTTTAGGAATATCTATTTTTGTGCAGTATATATTTATTTGGTATACAATCTGATCTCTGCTGTAAGGTTAGGATAATTCTGAGTGGGCTCCAGGATGCCATAATTAGCAGTCGTACTCAGACACAATTAGCAGTCTTGATGCTCTGAATTGTGTGTGTGTGTGTGTGTTAGTGAGTGTGAAAAATAGATATATTTGGAACTCATAGTTTCCTTAGCCAAGAGTAGGTCTTCTGAGCCCTACTTAGAATATGGGTTTAAATCTGTTGTCTGTCAGCTTCTAGGTAGAATTTTTAAAAAGATGTACTGATGGTAAATTGGGTGAGGAATTTTTAAAAAGATGTACTGATTTCTGGAGTCATACCTTAAAAGGATTTCTTAGAAATGGATTGAGTTTTTGGGTTGGAGAAACATAGGGCAAAGTTAGGCAGTACGTTTGTCACTTTGAGACATTTCTCTGTTCCTGTGCCTTGATATAGAAACTCAGGTTCTATGTAATATATCACTTCTCTAGTACATTGTTCTTTAAGTGATGATCCTTGCTTTCTCTTCTAGAGCTAAAGTTGCAGACAAGATCCAGCTGATCAATAATATGCTGGACAAAGTCAATGAGATGATTATTGGTGGTGGAATGGCTTTTACCTTCCTTAAGGTGCTCAACAACATGGAGGTAGGAAACCAATGCCAAGTGGATGTGAAATAGCTCTCCATGATAATAGCAGGTTGTATAAATGTAAAAGGAAAATGATCTTTTGACATGAGCCCTGAAAACTCCCATTTTTATTTATTTTGGCAAGTTTTTCTTTTGTCTTTGTCTTGTTCCTTTATATTGCATTGTGTGTGGTTCCTGTCTGCTTTGCAAGGCAGTCTTGTTCTTAGTATAGATGCTGACCTTCATCATTTTGGTTCCCCTGTGTAGATCGGTACTTCTCTGTTTGATGAAGAGGGAGCCAAGATTGTCAAAGACTTAATGTCCAAAGCTGAGAAGAATGGTGTGAAGATTACCTTGCCTGTTGACTTTGTCACTGCTGACAAGTTTGATGAGAATGCCAAGACTGGCCAAGCCACTGTGGCTTCTGGCATACCTGCTGGCTGGATGGTGAGTCACTTGAGTGGGTTGGTAGTGTTAGTGAATAGAAACTTTGTGGTGTCATTCATTCATTGATTCAGCCAACCAACAAGCATTTTAAAACAATCTCTATCGGAGATCTCTGTTGGAGAGTGTGCCGCATGTTGCAGTGAGTCACTTATTATGGGAGAATCCATGGGAGAAAAGCAGTGCTATTGGACTACTAGCGTCTTCATCAGTAATGTTGCAAAACCTTTTTTTTTTTTTTTTTTTTTTTGAGATGGAGTCTTGCTCTGTTGCCAGGCTGGAGTGCAGTGGCATGATCTCAGCTTACTGTGACCTCCGCCTCCCAGGTTCAAGTGATTCTCCTGCCTCAGCCTCCCGAGTAGCTGGGACTACAGGCACGTGCCGCCACACCCAGCTGATTTTCATATTTTTAGTAGACACGGGGTTTCACCATGTTGACCAGGATGATCTCGATCTCTTGACCTCATGATTTACCCGCCTCGGCCTCCTAAAGTGCTGGGATTACAGGCGCGAGCAACTGTGCCCGGCCCATTTTTTGTTTTATCTGTTTTTTACTTCTTCTGTTTAATGTGTATTAAGTACTTACTATGTGCTGGAGATAGTTACGTACTTTCATGGTTTGGGTTGCTTTGGATTATTTTGCTACCTAGAAACCTATATAAGAAAACTTTCTCAGCCGGGCGCGGTGGCTCACGCCTGTAATCCCAGCACTTTGGGAGGCCAAGGCAGGTGGATTACCTCAGGTCAGGAGTTCAAGACCAGTCTGACCAACATGGTGAAACCCTGTCTCAAAAAAAAAAAAAAGAAAACTTTCTCATATGAAAAGATTAAGAAGTACACTGATTACGAGCAGGGAGAAATGTATGTGTATATATTAATATAATTGATTTTAGGGTGCTCTGAATATCATTTTTATAGCTATATATAATTGTAACATGTTTTTACATGCTAGTTTGCATAGTTTTTCTTTTGTCAGGCATTCAGGTATTATTTAGTTCAGTGTTTCTCAAGGTGTGTTTCTAAGACCAGCAGTATCAGTATCATTTTTGGAACGTGTTAAAAATGCAAGTTCTTAGGCCCCACTCCAGACCTACTGAATCAGAAATTGGGGGTGGGGCTGAGCAGTCTGTTTGAATAAGCCCTTCTGGTGATTCTCATGCATGGCAGAGTTTGAGTACTCCAGATCTAGTTCACTGTCTGTCATTCCCAACACTATTGACATCTGTTGTTTTATGAGTGACTGTTGAATTGTAAGGTTGTTTAAAGCAGCCTTGGCCACTAGATGCCAGTAGCACCCTCCCAAGTTGCGACAATAAAAATATCTCTAGACCAGGCGTCCCCAAACTACGGCCTGCATGCGGCCCCCTGAGGCCATTTATCCGGCCCCCTGCCGTACTTCAGGAAGGGGCACCTCTTTCATTGGTGGTCAGTGAGAGGAGCACAGTATGTGGTGGCCCTCCAACGGTCTGAGGGACAGTGAACTGGCCCCCTGTGTAAAAAGTTTGGGGACACCTGCTCTAGACATTACCACATGTCTATCCATTGTGGAAGGGCAGAACTGACCCTGGTTGAGAACCATTGATCTAGTCTTCACTAACATAAATAGTATGGCTAAGAATGTCTTTATTAAATAACTTTTGAGGTTTTCCTTTAGACTTGATCTTCCATACAGTAGAATTTTTGAGTACAAAGGGCATGAACAGGTTTATAATTTTAAAGACTGAAGGTACTACCATTTGGTTCTAGAAGAAACTGGTGTGCAGCCTTGAGTTCTGGTCTTGGTGGAGGTGGTGTTTCAGTAGGTTTTCTTGATAGCTCATCTTCTCTTTCAACTCTGCCCCTCAGGGCTTGGACTGTGGTCCTGAAAGCAGCAAGAAGTATGCTGAGGCTGTCACTCGGGCTAAGCAGATTGTGTGGAATGGTCCTGTGGGGGTATTTGAATGGGAAGCTTTTGCCCGGGGAACCAAAGCCCTCATGGATGAGGTGGTGAAAGCCACTTCTAGGGGCTGCATCACTATCATAGGTAAGTGGTCCTATACAAAGGTAATACCAATATGAGCTGGCAGAATTCTGATCAGAGGAAGGTAGAATAGAGAACTTTTCTCTTCATTCTGGATAAATCTTAAGAGCTAAACAGGTAGATAATTTACAGAGGAGCCTCTTGGTAAGATAGAGTTGGGGGTTTATCAGCTACCTTTTGGGTTAGAGAGCACACTGCCTTACAGTTTTGGTGCCAATCCTTTTTTTTTCTTTTCTCTTTTCCCTTTTTACCTGGCTTTCATTCAACAGGTGGTGGAGACACTGCCACTTGCTGTGCCAAATGGAATACGGAGGATAAGGTCAGCCATGTGAGCACTGGGGGTGGTGCCAGTTTAGAGCTCCTGGAAGGTGAGGTCCTTTTGTTTTTTGGCTTGCTTGGGAGAAGGGTGGGGCTGTGCAGTGAGAGGTGGGTAAAATGGAGTAGAGAAAGTTGGTAGGTTCTGTTGTCATTAGCAGTCATTACTAGCTGGGCAGTACAGAGGAACTTCAGATAAAGCTCCTGGCATCCATTGAGGTGGGGAGGGACAGACAGAAACTTGTTCTGAGAGCTATGGTCTAGCAGACCTGGAATCAAAAATGCAAAATTCCCCAGCTCCTGGCCATATATCCTAAAAAAGAGCTGGCATGTTATTGGGAAGATAAATGTAGGGGGAGATCTGGCTTACTGGGCCCTATAGTAATGCTCTCTATGTATGTGTGCTCTCTCAAAAACAGGTAAAGTCCTTCCTGGGGTGGATGCTCTCAGCAATATTTAGTACTTTCCTGCCTTTTAGTTCCTGTGCACAGCCCCCAAGTCAACTTAGCATTTTCTGCATCTCCACTTGGCATTAGCCAAAACCTTCCATGTCGATTCAGCTAGTGGCCAAGAGATGCAGTGCCAGGAACCCTTAAACAGCATCTCAGCTCATCTTTACTGCACCCTGGATATGCCTACATTCTTCAAGATCCCATTTGAATTTCTTAGTGACTAAACCATTGTGCATTCTAGAGTGCATATATTTATATTTTGCCTGTTAGTGAGCTGTGTTAGCTTAGTTCTCTTTTGATGTAGCTTATTCTTACTAGCTTTATCACCGTTTCACTACTCAGCGTGGAAACAAGATTAAATTGACTTTGTAGGTAGGGAGGTGGAATTGATGGTCCATTAAATAAACAATAAAAGTGTCCATTGAAACCGTGATTTTTTTTTCCTGTCATACTTTGTTAGGAAGGGTGAGAATAGAATCTCGAGGAATGGATCAGATATCTACATTGCTGAATGCAAGAATTGGGGCAGCAGCAGTGGAGAGATGGGACAATTAGATAAATGTTTATTCTTTATCAAGGGCCTACTTTGTGGCAGACATTGTTTTAGTGCTTTTATTCTAACTTATTTTTATTAGTTACACATGGTCATCCTTTAAAAAGTCAAGGCGAGACTCTGTCTCAAATAAAATAATAAAAAGCCAGGATGTAAGTCACTCGTGAGAATTGACTGAAAGGGAGAATTAAGAGAGTATCCAGGTTGTTCCCACTCTTCCATCACTGGGCCCTGGGTTCATAGTGTATGTGTTTTGTAAAAATGTTTCATGCTGTTTTTAATGTTGTATGTGTCTAAAATTAAAAACAAGATTTCTCATCAAAAAAAAAAAAAAAAGTAAATAAAAATAAAAAGTCAAGGCTTAAAGTAAAAAAGCCCCAGCCCATTCTTCCCATTCAAGATTCCCACTCCCCAGAGGTGACCACTTTCAACTCTTGAGTTTTTCTGGTATATACCTCTAGGTTCCTAAGTAATATGCTTATATTGTTCACTTTTTTTTTTTTTCTTTTAAAGAAATCTGTTAATTTCATACCATGGAAGAAGTCTCTGTTCCACATATTTCCACTTCTTCATTCTCAGTATAGTTTCGTCACAATTTTAGATCAAAAGTCTATATAACTAATACAGCTGAGCTATGTAGTATGCTATGATTAAATTTACTTATGTAACTTTTATTTTTTTTTTGGAGTTAAGTGTTTAAACAAATTTCTTTTCTACATATACCTATCAGTGATTCATTCCCAAATCTTCCAGAAGCATGTGTCAATATATTAAAACATACTGAATAATCCTTGTCAGAGCTATCCCTGCAGGAGTCCTTGGTGCTCTTTTTTCCATTTGTACGTGATGCCCTTTAGGTAAGCTGTACAGCTGTTGCTCTGGGATTTCCTATAACCTTCTTGGGGATTCCTTTTACCTCCTGTGTTAGACTCCTGTTTTCTAAATTCCCCCTTTTCCTTCTTTCTTGGTCTACTTTTTGTAGAACACAAGACTCTACTAGCTTCCTGAGAAAGGGTGCCTGGGAGGCAAAATCTCTAAGACCTTTTAAGTCTGAAAGTGTCTTTATTCAACCCTTATACTTGATTCCTAGTTTGGCTATATATAGAATTTTAGCCTGGGTATCACTTTTTGAGACTCGAAGCCATTGTTTCATTGTCACTGTCAAGAATCTAATGGCCATTTGGATTCTTTCAATCATTCTTATAATTTTACCTTCCTATCTCTTTCCTGTCCTTTTAATGGAGTTTTGGGAGAAAGCAGAGGTAATCATCATTTGAAAAAGCTATGTCTAACCAGAAATTCTGTGCTGGGCATTTTACATGCAAGATACATATTTCATCTTTAGGTATGATGAAATAAAATTTGGACAGGATCACAGAGCTAAGTAACAGCAAGGATTCAAGTCCAGGTTTGTCAGGTTCCAATGGCTGATACTTTTCCAGTGTGCCTCCCTCCCTGACATCATGCTTCTAGAGAACTATATCTTTTTTGTTTAACCCTGGATAGAATAGCAAAAGAAAATTTTGGTTGCTCTAAACAAAACTTTGAAAGCTGAAGTTTTTTCTTGGTTCATTATATTTTAGTTAATACTGTACCCATATTTGTAGTTAATTTTAAATTGTACCATGTTTCTGCATACCTCTAAGGGTACTAAGGAATTCTAGTCCAATTTTTGTGACTTTTTGTTCCTACTGATTACCTTTCCTCCAACATTTTAAAAATTATTTCAAATGGAACTGAAAGCAGCATAAACTCATAAACCCAGCACCTAGACTCTACAATTGCCAACACTATCCAACAATCTCTGACAGTACCTTTTAAGTACTTTCTACTGGACTCAGCTTCCATGATTTCCCTCACCCCCCATTTATTTGGGCTGTTAACCTAGAGAATGAATGGGGGAAATGCCAGTCATAAACAACTTGGCAATTAGCCAATTTGAGTACCTGCTATATGCTTAAAGACATGATGGTGGAAATATAAGATAGCATTTATGTTCTGAAGGAATTTTTAACCTGGTCAAAGAAGATAGTGGATAAACAATTGTGAGCATATAAACTAGAACAGTATAAGGGGCTGGGCATGGTGGCTTACACCTGTAATCCCAGCACTTTGGGAGGCCGAGGTGGCCAGATCACCTGAAGTCAGGAGTTTGGGACCAGCCTGGCCAACATGGTGAAACCCTGTTTCTATCAAAAATACAAAAATTAGCTGAGTCTGATGGTGGATGCCCATAGTCCTAGCTACTCTGGAGGCTGAGGCAGGAGAATCGCTTGAACCTGGGAGGTGGAGGTTGCAGTGAGCTGAGATCATGCCACTACACCCATGCCTGGGTGACAGAGCGAGACTTAGTCTCAGAACAGTGTAAGGATGTGCTGATTTAATTTAGAATTATGAATTACTGGTAAAATATTGCAAAGGTATATGCTTTAAGTTGTAAATTCACCTTTAACCATAGATTGTATGTATGTGTCTATTTATATGTAGGAAAAAAATAATTTCTATGTTGTAAGTGAACAATTCAGTCTGTTCTTTAGCTCAGTGTTTTCCTGTTTTCTTCATTTCCAAAATTTCCCTCTAGCACAGGGGTTTACACATGATCAAAAAGGAGTATACAATGAAGACTCCTTAATCAGTTCCCTAGCTACCAGTTTCCCTCCCCAGAAGCAACCTCTGAAGACCAGTTTCCTTCCATCTCAGGCTACTTAATATACAACTAAGAGCATACCCATGTGTTTGTATATAAGGATATTAAAATGTAAATGGTGGCATACCTTCTGTTCTGTAGTTCTGACGTTTTCTTTTCTACCTCTTGAGTATTCCCTGTCACTTTGGATTCCTTAGACCATAGTGTGCATCACATCTTCCATTCTCCCCCTGTCCCATGCTGGCTATATTCCTGTATTCATACTTTGATCATAGACACTTGTTTGCTACCTGTAAAAGGAAGAACTAGAGATAGTGTCCTCACCGCATTTACCATCAGTACCTCTTTTTAAAAATTATATCTAGAAGCTGAAGGACAACAGATTTAATCCCATAATCTTTTACTCGTTTTCAATTTGCTTCACTGTGATATGTCACATGCTGATTCCAGATAAAAGCAAGTGATTTCCTGATATATAATTAACAATTAAACAAATCTTAATGACTTTTGGCCATCAGAATTACTGGGCTTTGTTCATCTCCCTTGAATCCTTTAAGTAAAAATGAAAGAGCACCGATAAGCTCAAATTTTTATTAATAAACTTGGAACAAATACATTAATAATTCTTTATAGTCATATAGCATTTACAATTTTGAAGTAACTTTCACATAATACCAATTGAACCTCACAACAGCCCTGTGAGGTAGGCAGGGTGTTATTTTCCTACTAGTGAGGAGAACAAGGCTAACAGGTGAAGTAAGGTCACACAGTTGGTAAATGATGGAGCTAGGACTAGAACCTAGGTCTTCTGATTTGCTGCCTCCCTGAGAACATTCAAGTAATGATATCCTATGCTATATAATGAATATTCATCTCCTACGATGTTGATCAGGTCTGTTTTTATACATTTTACCTGTTTTTATATTACTTTAATATTGAAAAACACTAAAACTGATGAGACATTTCTTCTCTGTTACTGGACTTTTTCTTGGATATATCAAGCACTATCCTAAGATGAAACTTCTGTTTTGAGCATCCTTGGCTATAAATTCTAAATTATGATATGAACATTTATTTTACAAAATTCTGCAAAAGTATGTTGAACTTAAGAAAAACAAAACAGGTCTGTTTATATTCTAAAAAGCTTTGCCATCTTTCCCAGTACTACTTTAAGATGTGTATACATGGAAATAAGGGAAAGGTGTTCAACAACATTACAATATTATTGGGAAACCTATGCAAAGTGCACCTAAATACAAGCCATGTAACAGTAATTTGTTTTCCTTGTTGGCCTTACAGAGGATGGGGAACCATTAGTGTCTTACTCTCAGGTTTGATCTCATTTTATATGTGACATCCTCAGCAACAAGCTAAGAGATGATGTGAATTATACCAATAGGAGGGCTCAAGCAGCAGTGATGAAAACATATGTATGTGGTAAAAAGGAACACTTGTTCTTCAGTGGTTTTTCCTAGGTCCAGTGTAATTACTTACCAAAACAGATTTTAAGCTACAGCATCTCTGTTAAATTTAGAAATGTGAAATACGGTAGAGTTATCAACTTGGAATACAAGACTAAAACTCAATGTAACTGACCCAAAACTCCTGTCAAAAGCACAATAAAGCTCAGCAGGCATAAAAACTAAGGGGTAAAACCCAACTGCTCTGACAGAGTGAAAAACAGGAAATGCAAACCATCAGGTTGAAGTGAATTAAAAAACATTAGGCATGTAGAGCATGTTTTAAAAATATGAAAATGACACTGAGCTGTATTACCAGGAATGACATTTAAAAAATTCCAGGTATGGCCTTTTACATTTAAGAGCAATGGAGAGAAGCCTATGGGGGAGGTGCAGAAAATGAATGGGATCTAGAAAGGGAGTTGAGTTGGGGAGTTCAAGAAGGTCAAGAAACAAATACATTCAAAATGGATTTAGAATCTCTCCTCTAAATCCACCCTTTCCAAAAAATGTTTCCTAAACTGAAACATTGGTAAAAATAAAGCTAGTGACAATGAAAGTGACTGTATTACCTTATAAAATAAAGTAGTATTTAAATGTAGATTAGAGATTATGCTGTTAAAAGATAAATCTGCTGGCCAGGCTGTAGAACCTGAAACTTAAGTGCTGCTGTCAGTGATAGAAGGCAGAAAAGTGTCTCAAAAATAGAATTGCCATACTAGGACTCAACATTAATGAAACTGTTAAGAAAGAAGTACGTAACTGTAATTGAAGCCTAATGAAAAACACATTTGTATGTTTACTAAAGAGATCTAACAGTTTTAACTAATATGAAAATACTGCAGCTACGTTTCAGTCTTTTAAGGTAAAACGAGAAGATCTAGAATATTCTAGTTCAGTATACATTGAACTCAGGAGGCAGAGGTTGCAGTGAGCCAAGATCACACCACTGCACTCCAGCCTGGGCGACAAGTACAGTACAGGCTCAAAACCACCTTTCCTTCTGAAATGCATCTATAATAGACTATATTCCTTACATAGTATCATTGTCATCATCGTCTTCATGTTTTCTCTTCAGTAGGTTTGCTTCATTGGCCGTGTTCTGTGATGAAACCATGTTGGTGGTAATAAGAATATTTTTGGGCCCAATCATTGAAGGATTAATCAGAACATTTTGAACTGCAGTTGTTGCAGGACCTGTAAACAGAGAAGCCCCCCCACCAAGCTATGAATTACCCAGAATCCAAAGCATACGATAAAAAGTGTTTAACAAAGCTGAATGCAATTCTAATACCAATTTCAATAGCATGAAGTGCAACTGTATCATAGAAGAAACACAGGTACTTACACTACAATGAGCTGAATTTTAAAAAATCTTTATTTTTAGTTGGCAAATAATTGTGTGTATTTATTTTTAAATTATTTATTTTTTTGAGACAGTGTCTTGCCCTGTCACCCAGGCTGGAGTGCAGTGGTGTGATCTTGGCTCACTGCAACCTCTGCCTCCTGAGTTCAAGTGATTCTCATGCCACAGGTTCCCAAGTAGCTGGGATTATAGGCGCGTGCCACCATACCTGGCTAATTTTTGTAGTTTTAGTAGAGACGGGGTTTCACTATGTTGGCCAGGCTGGTCTTGAACTCCTGGCCTCAAGTGGTCCTCCTGCCTTGGTCTCCCAAAGTGCTGGGATTATAGGTGTGAACCATCGTGCTCTGCCAGTAACTGTCTATATGTATAGGGTATAATGTGATGTTTTATGTATACATAAAAATTTAACGTATCTAGTACAAAGTTGAAGAAGTTCTGTTGTATTTTAACAACCTAGATTTTCAATTCACTCATGCAAAACTGCACTGGATTCATCATGCAACATACTAAACAAAGGCCAGGAATCACACTAGATTTTCAATTCACTCATGCAAAACTGCACTGGATTCATCATGCAACATACTAAATAAAGGTCAGGAATCACACTTCCTTAAGAGGCCAGTATTTTACATAAATTGCTTGTTACATGCAGTTAGGTTTCAGAAGATGTGAAATCTAAACATATACATTCATAAACTGCTATGACAGAATTCTGCTTATTCCAAGTGTGTGAGTGTGTGTGTATCCTATGAAGTGAGTAAAGGTACAACTTTTCATTTGAATTTACATTTTTGTTCTGGATTGCATACACATATTCATCACTAAGTTTTGTCACTGTCTTGAATTTTTACCTTAAGTGCTTTTCCTTGAAGATGCCTTAGATTTGTGGACCCTAACTGGTTAGTTCATGGTGTTCCTTGAAAATCTGATGAACACACTGAATTCTCTTTCCCTCCTCCCTAAAAAGTTACATATATAGTAGTTCCCCCTTATCTGCAGTTTCAGTTACTTGTGGTCAACTGTGATCCAAAAATAGGTACAGTACAGTAAGATACTTCGAGAGGGATCACATTCATATGTATTTTATTATAGTATGTTGTTATAATTGTTTATTAGTTATTGTTAATTTTTTGCTGTGTCTGACTTATAAATTAAATTTTATAATTTAGAAGGTTTATAAACTTTAAAGTTGTAAATTTAACTGGGGGGTCTTGGAACATAATCCCTCAAGGACAATGGAGGAGACTACTGTATGTAAAATTTCACAGAATTTTAGAGAGCTCATAGGTCCCTCTGAAGAACCCTGATTTGCAGCATTACTGCCACCTTCCTGTTGGATATTAAGACAAGTTTACCTCTAGGTATAGGAACACAAACTGTTCTACAATTTCAAATTATTCACAAATTCTGTCTCCCACACCCAATCACATTACCTGGTTTGACAGGTGTGGATTGAGAAGGTGGAATCTGCACCGTAAATCTTTGGCTTGTCACTGACATTGGAGTTGCAACTTTATTTGCGACAGACACTGTTTGTGGGGTTGCTGTAGTTATAATAAACAGATCATGTTAGTTAGGTGACTTTTACAGATTTATTCTGCATTCCTTAGCTTACCACAAACTACCTTAAACGCAAAGGAAACTAATAAAAGGTGAGGAAAAAGTTATTAGAAATGAGTAAAACAACTTTAAAAAATTTACAAGCTTGTTTAGATGTTACAAAATTCAATATAGAATAGTGGTAAAGAATGTAGGCTCTGGAGCCTACCTGCTTGAGTTTGAATCTAGGCCCTATCACCTACTAGCTGAGTGTCCTTGGGCAAGTTATTTAAATTTTTGTGCCTCAGTTTTCTCATCTATAAAATAGGGGATAAGATCACCCATTTCATATAATTGTGAGAATGAATACAAATAAAAATAATCTCTGTAAAAACTCTTCAAACAGCGTCTGGTACATAGTAAGCACTGAGGTTTAGCTGGATGAAGACATAAAGTTGAGAGTTTACCAGAATAAAGACCCAGGTTTTCTATTTATTACCTTAGTTGGCACTTTTAATCTTGGTCACTTGCTGAGAATCAGAAGATGTCATCTATGCCCATGAAACTAAAGCAGAGGTCAAATAACACCCCTTGAGGTCTCCAGGTGGGCCCAGAAAATTCATTCCCTTTTTGTGTTCAGATACTTTTTAAGCAGAAAAATATTTTGGAGATAACCTTGTCTAAACCCCCAATCATCTAAATTCTACCCATTATTCCAAGGTACAACTCAAATACTAACCCATTTTAGAAAACTTTCCTTAATTTGCTCAGTTAAATGCCTTTTTCTTACTCATTCAGTAGATTACAGGCCTTGGCTAACGTTTTTCATCCTTGTGAGCACAGGGCTCTTTTACCTTGCTCCTAACAGGTACTCAACGAATGTTTGCTTAATAAATGTATTTTGCAAGACTTGAAGACTTAATATATATACTGACATCATTACTCTCTCAAAAAATGCATTTGTGGAAGTGTATCTGTTTCTAATTTTTTATCTGGGGATGCAGGCGTTCCAGTACATCCCTTCCCCCCTAGAACCAGCAGTTTACCCAGAGATTAGAGTTGCTGAGGACACTACAACTATCATTTCTAGAGAAAAAGGTGAAGAAAGTCTAGATAAGGAAAGAAAGCCCAAAGGTACTGAGAAATCCGGGTTTTATTTACTGCCTTCTCTCCCAAACCCAGAAGGTGAGACCCTCCTCTAAAATACCTCCGTCCCTAGATAAGTTTTCCCATGTATTAAGGATTAGTTAAGAGAATTTGGTGAAGCATAATGAAGCAATGTAAGTATTTTATCAAGAAAAGAAAATTCACAGTAGGTGGGTGTTTTTTTTGGCCTAAGAATTGTCAGTACATTGAAGCAGGTATGGAGTTGAGGCTTTAAAAGTGAACACAGTAGATTGTAGACGTAGTCCCCTCCCACCCCCAAATGAAGAGAGTAAATACTCATGTCTTAAGGTCTAGATAACTCATTTTAATTTTTTTTTTTTTTTTTGAGATGGAGTGTTTGTCACCCAAACTGGAGTGGTGATCCGCCTGCCTTGGCCTCCCAAACTGCTAGGATTACAGGTGTGAGTCACTGTGCCTGGTCAACTCATTTTAATTTTTTAAAGTTTAAAACTTGCATCTTTAGGCTTGGTGTGGTGACTCATGCCTGTAAGCCTAGCACTGGGAGGCCGAGGTGGGCAGATCACTTGAGGTAAGGAGTTCAAGACCAGCCTGGCCAACATGGTGAAACACCGTCTCTACTGAAAAAAACAAAAAACAAAAAACCAAAAAACCCCATAAGTTAGCTAGGTGTGGTGGCACACACCTGTAATCCCAGTTACTTGGGAGGCTGAGGCAGAATTGTTTGAACCTGGGAGGTGGAGGTTGCAGTAAGCCAAGATTGTGCCATTGCACTCCAGCCTGGGTGACAGAGTAAGACTGTGTCTCAAAAAAAACAAAACAAAACCAAAAAATAAATGACAAAAAAACCTTGCATCTTTAAAACTATCAAGTGTTTTTGGTAGTGCCCTCACTCTACATTTAAAAAAATCTCTGAAGTATGTAGAACAAATGTCTAGCTAGGAATAAAAGTCACAACTGATAACTAAAATTGGTTAACCTGCCTGGCATATGAAACTGATTACCAGCCTAAAACAGTTGGTATTCATTTAAGTAATGTGAATCCACAAACAGAATATGATGAAAATTTACAAAGATTATAATATAGATTTCTGTCCACAAGGGTCACAGGTAGGTAATTAGACATGTACAACAGATACTATACCAAAGTGGCTTTGTAATGCTGAAATGCAAATTTACATCCTGAGAATATGAAGAGATGGTTTACACACCTCAAAAATCAAATGCTGTTTATACTTGAGCTATATGGCAGCCATGGGACTCAAGTTATAAGCAATAAGAGCCAATAATTTAATACTGATGAAGAGGGATTTTTCTGAAAATACTTTACTAGACTATGTATGCAAGGAACCCAGCAGGAATGTAGGAAAAAAAGTCAGGAAATCTAAGTACATTATTTGTTTTCCTTACTATCTAAACAACAATGATATTAAGAAAGAAATAATGGATTCTGAATACCATTCTCCACCAAAAGGAACCAGAGCTCTTTGGAGAAGTGGATGATTCTAGGACCTGGGCAGGAAAAGTATGAGTTTTGCAACATCTTGTGGCCATCAGAAAGCAAAAAATGCTCACAGAATGACACAGATCTGTCAAAAGGACACATACATTTGTATAGAAGGCATAAAGTACACAGCTAAGGGTAAACTCCTGTTTTTGGTATCAGAGTTTATACCAACAACAATGTAGGCAATGTCCAATTTTATACTCATTTGAGATCAGATGTTCCTTGTGTCTTTCTGATTTTGAAATCCAGTAACATGTATGTAAACATGTAAAGTTTTACTAGATGAATAAAATTTTTAATAACACATATACAGAATTTCTGACTCAATTTTTGTCTTGCATTATAGTTCAAAACCAAGTGCTGAGGTACTGCTTTCCCAGCCAGAAAAGCCATTTTCTCCTTTCACTTACCTATAGTAGGAGTGGTAGGTTTGCTACTAACAGCACCAACACTTAATCGTGGAACTAGTCTCCCTTGGTTAGGTCCCTAGGAGATTTAAAAAACAAATTAATGTTAAGATGTGACACCTTAATTTTCCAGGAATGAAATTAGGATTGTTGATGTAAATGATTAAGGATAATTCACGGCAAGAAAGTCCTGTTTTTGTTCTACCAGTGTTTTAAGTCCAACATTTAATCTGGGGTTTGCACAAACATATATACATGTCTTTATCTATGTAAAAACAGATATGAAGGCCAGGCACGTTGGCTCACGCCTGTAATCCCAGGACTCTGGGAGGCTGAGACGGGTGGATTACGAGGTCAGGAGTTCAATACCAGCCTGGCCAACATACTGAAACCCCGTCTCTACTAAAAATACAAAAATTAGCTGGGTGTAGTGGCAGGTGCCTGTAATCCCAGCTACTTGGGAGGCTGAGGCAGGAGAATTGCTTGAACCTGGGAGGCAGAGGTTGCAGTTAGTTGAGATTGTGACACTGCACTCCACCTGGGTGACGGCAAGATTCCATCTTGGGGGAAAAAAAATATGAATATATATATATAATCCTATTCAGTATTAAAGTTTAAGATAGAGTGTTATTTGAATGGGGATAACGAACTAACTTCTTTGTGATTTTTAATCTTAACTAGTCAATTTCTTAACCCCAAAAGGAATAAAACTCTTATAGTGGAACTTAAGAAAACAAAGGCACCCTATCGTGGGGATAACTTTTTCAGTGGTGGGAGAGCTTTAGGTCATATTTCAGAAAGCTGGTATATCATTCCCTCTGTTATTAGGCCTCACTAAAAAAACTATGATACAGTAGAAAGATTGGGAGTTATGAGGCTTGGAATCAGTCCTAGCTTTGCTACTAACTTTGTAAATGAGTTCAGACTCTACTTCCTGATGTGAAAAATGATTGTTGTGTTAAATGAACACTAAAGTTCCTTCTAGCTATAAAATTTTTTAAACTTAAAAAAATTCTATTATCTTAACCTTTACTATACTAGCTACGGGAATTTGCTTTTCACAAAGTCCCCTATCATATCTCACCTTTTGAAAAAAGCCAAGTTGATTCAAATTTCTTACCTTTTTAATTAAGGACTTCAGCCTGTAGTTTGGAGCTGTTAAGCAGTATCTATCAGGCGGCAGTCTAGGACCTGCATATGGCTTAATCAGCGGCAAAGGGGTTTGATTTTTCTGCCTTGCGATGTCCAGTAAAAACTAAAAAAAAAAAAAAAATCCTTATTAGAATTACAGATTAAAAAATTTTAAGTAAAAATAACTTCAAATCAAAGTTTGCTCACATCTCTTGGGGGAGGAGAGGTAAAAGACTGATCAGCACGACACTGGATTGCCAGTCTCACATCATCTGCATCAACATTGGGTTTCTTAGCATGGCTTGAATAAATTTTTGCATCATCCAGAATTGTAGTCACATATCCTTTAAGAACAAAACAATCTTTTCTTAAACATATGAAGACAGCTTAATATTTGTGGCTACTTGTCTTGATACAAGTTTCCACTAATTTGTAGACAGTTTATGGAATTTTTTGTTTTCTGTAGAGATGGGGTCTCACTATGTTGCCCAGGCATAACTTGAACTCCTGGCCTCCCACCTCAGCCTCCCAAAGTGCTGAGATTACAGGTGTAAGCTACTGTGACCAGTCTAAATGCTGCCTTTAATAGCTAATTGTCCTGTCTATATGATCAGTTTTAAACAGATATAACCATGTGAGTACTACTGTCCCCTAGCTTGAGCTCCTTTTTAACTGCTTTAGGCTGAATTCTATGATACTACTAACGTAATTTAGTTGAAAATGTTCTTACAAGGCTGGGCACCACCTGTAATGCCAGCACTTTAGAAGGCTGGGATGGGCAGATAACCTGAGTCAGGAGTTCAAGACCAGCCTGGGCAATGTGGCAAAACCCCGCCTCTACTAAAAATACCAAACTTAGCCCAGCGCGCGGGGACGGGGGGTGGGGGTGGGGAGGGTGGGGGGGTGCGTGCCTGTAGTCCCAGCTACTCAGGAGGCTGAGGCATGAGAATCGCTTGAATCCGGGAGGGAGAGGCTGCAATGAGCCAAGATTGTGCCACTGCCCTCCAGCCTGGGCGACAGAGCAAGACCCTGTCTCAAAAAAAAAAAAAAAAAAAAAAAAAGTTCTTAAAATAAAAATATTTTTTCAAATTCACAAGTTAGGCAAGTTTTTGGTGTTTAACTTACGGAAAGCAAATTCCAACATTTGATTTATAACTCTTGGTTCGTACTCTGTGATTCCCATATCCTTTAGGATCTGTGCCATCACCTGTGGATTCAAATAAAAACGCCAGATGCAGAATTTGGTACTGGAAATCAAGGCTAGCCTGAAGGGTAGTATTTACATTTATTATACAAGGTTCCCTTTCCTTGGGCTTCAAAGTCCTACTCACCCTTGTCCTCCCAAGTGAGTCAGTGATCACACCAAATCGCATAGTACGCTTTTGCTGAAAAGTTTTGTTTTTATTTTTTGGCGGGGTTGGGAGCCGGTGGCGGGGGCGGTGGGGGGAGGGGAAGAGAAGACAGGAGTTGGCTTCCCTAGCAGAAGTAGGAGTAGCTTCAGCTGGTTGTCATTTTTGGTTTTGGCAGCGAGTTAAGCTAGCGTCAGAACCCTGGACACGGAGTCAGGGCTGGCACACAGGTCTAGACGAGGAGGCGGCAGGGGCCCGAAGCCCAGAACACAAAGCTGGGCAGCCGTTCCGCAAGCTCCGCTGCACCCCGACCCCCTGGTAAGGCTTGGCCCAAGCGGCGAGAGAGGGGCCCCGGGGCCAGGGCGCATCTCCATCACCCTCTCCTTCTGGCGGCCCTGACTGGACTGAGGCGAGCGCGCGAGCCCACCCTTAGGCCCTCAGCTTGGCCTTGCCTCGCAGGTCCCTGGCTGCACCCGGCTTCGCGCTCCGCCGCTCATCCTTCGCACTTACCAAGGCATCTCTCGGAGCGTTCTTGGGAGGCGCCATCTTGCCCGACTCCATGTTATCCAGCGACTCGTCATCCGAGGAGACAGGGGAGAGGGGGCAGCTCGCGGTCTCCTCACTCAGGCCACACCCCTGCGGGGAGCGGGAGGAGAGAAGCGGAAGGCGGGGTTACGTGCCAGCCGCCGGGGCGGGAGTTTCAGCAAGACGCTGGCCTGGGGGAAGAGACGCGCGTGGGTGTCCGTGCTCAGGAGGATTGGAAGAGGCAGGGAATGCTTCCCCGTGGAGCCTGCTGGGGGCTAAAACAAGTAGAAGAGCCGAGAGGCTCGACTTCCCAGAGTTGTTCTGCGGCAAAGGGCACCAAATGGGAAAAGCTCACCTTTGCGGGGGTCCCCTCCTCACACCTCCCCTGCTACCACCATCGCCCCTTTTGGCTTACGGAAATTGCAGACCTAGTCGGTGTTAGGGCTGCTTGATATAACACAGTTGGACCCGTAGATTTGAATGTCATATCAACAATGAATACATTTTTAGTATATCCCAAATTCTCACAGGCCGTACTTATGCTACAAAATAACTGTTGATCTGATATTCATATTTAAACGGGTGTCTCGGATTTTTATTAGCTAAATCTGGCAACCCTACCCAATAGTCTGCTATCCACACAGCAGGACTTTGGTCTGCTCTTGTCACACTCAAAGCCCTACTGTGGCTGCCCATTTCACCCTGATGAAAAACTAAAGCCTTCACTTGGCCTCGAGCAGCTTCCCGTCTGTCCCCGTTGAGGTCAACGCAGGACCCTTCCTTGCCACCCAGTTACACCCTTCCCAGCCCCTCCCCACAGAACAGCGCGAATGACTCGTGAGAACCGACTATCCAGCCCCAGTGACTTTCAAAAATGTGCATCAGTTAACTATGTCTGTCTTAAAATGTCGCAGATAACTCATTCTTACCCTCCACATCCACCAATGCCCCAGCATTTTCCATCTCAGGAACAGGCACCGTGACTCGCTCAGGCCAGAGAGGGTATACCGGCAGGCAGCCATCTTGTTGCTTCCCTCACAATCCACACTCAATCTAGCAACAAGTCTTGTCCAGGTGACCTCCCACGTTTCTATCCATGTCTTAACATCTTCCAGTACTACTACGATGCTAATAAGTCCAAGCCAACATCCTTACCAATATTAACGGAAATATGCTCCCCAAATAGGGTTCCCCCCCCAGCCATTCCTTACACAGCTAGAGGCACCTTTTAGTCATAAATCCAATCACTGTTTTCCTTAAAACCCTCCAGTGGCTCTCCTCGCAAACATACACAAATACATACTGATTTCCCAGGCTTAGTGGGCCCTTCAGTTTTGTGGAACAGCTTACCTTATCAAACTCGTCACAACCAGCCGTCCACTGCTCCGCCATCTTGAAGTCTGGGCCGGCTTGCCAAGAAACAAGCGTTATCAATACATTGTTTCCAGTGACAGCACGTGATCCCATGCTGAGATGCTGCCTTCCCCCACTCTCACTGTGGCCAGCCTCTGTGTGAAATTAATAACAGTCCCTCGGTTTAGAATATTTGCAGGGTACAACAGTTAGAAATAGGTGGAGGCTGGGCTCACACCTATAATTTCAGCAGTTTGGGAGCCCCAGGTGAGTGGATCACTTAAGGTCAGGAGTTTGAGACCAGCCTGGCCAACATGGTGAAACCCTTTCTCTACTAAAAATACAAAAATTAGCCCGGCATGGTGGCTCATGCCTGTAGTCCCACCTACTCAGGAGGCTGAGACAGGAGAATTGCTGGAACCCCGGAGGTGGAGGTTGCAGTGAGCCGAGACTCCATCTCAAAAAAAGAAAAAAAAAATAGCTGGTATATTTACAGGGTACAACATTTAAGAGTATTTTAAAATATCCTAGTAAAAGAAAATCTTTCTTACCTGTTCCAGCTACTGATGTCACTTTCACAGAAGGCACCATTGTTTACCAGTTTCTATTCTATGCAATTTACAAATAGTATCTTGTTTATATATTTTTTATATAAACAAGATGGTACTATAGTCTTAGGGTGACCAACCTTCAGAGAGCCAACCCAGGACATAGATGTGCTAGATGAAGAAAACCCATAACATAAATAATTATGCATATGTATCATTACTTAAGAATAAGTATTGGAAGTTATATGATTTTTGTGTATTATTTTCTGTTACATAAGTGCTATTTAAACAAAATATTAGGACTAAACAGTGGCCATTAGTATTAATTAACAATAGGATAAGTTAAATAATAGGTGTGAGAAAATCTAACAAGATTTTTCATTATATTTCTGTCCTCTGCCACAATTTAACTCTTGCACATTTACATTTTGTAAGTTGTAGTGTGTATTCTTTATATACAGAAGTGTAAGACTTGTCAAAGAGCATAAATACAGTAAGACAACCAGCTATCACCTATCTATATATAATTTTAATTTTTAATTTTTCTGTTTATGTAGTAAGTATATCGGGTACATGAAACGTTTTGGTGCATGCACACAATGTGAAATAATCACATTATGGAAAATAGGATATCCATCTCTTAAGCGTCTATCCTTTGTATTACGAGCAGTCCAATTGCACTTTTAGTTGTTTTAAAGTATACAATTAAATTATTGACTATAGTCACCCTGTTGTGCTAGCAAATATCAGGTCTTATTCATTGTTTCTATTTTGTTGTACACATAAACCTATCTGCCCCTCCACCCTCCCACTATCCTTTCAGGCCTCTGGTTACCATCTTTCTTTTTCTTTTTTTTTTTTTTTGAGACGGAGTTTCGCTCTTGTTACCCAGGCTGGAGTGCAGTGGCGCGATCTCGGCTCACCGCAACCTCCACCTCCTGGGTTCAGGCAATTCTCCTGCCTCAGCCTCCTGAGTAGCTGGGATTACAGGCACGCGCCACCATGCCCAGCTAATTTTTTGTATTTTTAGTAGAAACGGGGTTTCACCGTGTTGACCAGGATGGTCTCGATCTCTTGACCTCGTGATCCACCTGCCTCGGCCTCCCAAAGTGCTGGGATTACAGGCTTGAGCCACCGAGCCCGGCACCATCTTTCTACTCTCTGTGTCTATGAGTTCAATTGTTTTGAGTTTTAGATCCCACAAATAAGTAAAACATGTGATGTTTGTCTTTCTGTGCTTGGCTTATTTCACTTACCATAATGATCTCCAGTTCCATCCATATGGTTGCATATGACAGGATCTCATTCTTTTTTATGGCTGAATAGTACTCCTTTGTATATAAATACCACATTAAAAAAAATCTTATTTTATGTTTAGGGATATATGTGGAGGTTTATTATATAGGTAAACTTGTGTCACAGCAGTTTGTCATACAGATTATCTTGTCACCCTAGTACCCAATAGTTATTTTTCCTAATCCTCTCCCACCTCCCACCCTCCAACCTTAAGTAGGCCCCAGTGTCTGTTGTTCCCCTCTTTGTGTCTGTGAGTTTTCATCATTTACCTCCCACTTATGAGTGAGAACATGTGGTATTCGATTTTCCATTCCTGTGTTAGTTTGCCAAGGAAAATGGCCTCCAGCTCCATCCATGTTCTCACAAAAGACCTGCTCTTGTTCATTTTTATAGCTGCATAGTATTCCATGGTATATGTGTACTACATTTTCTTTATATAATCTGTCATTGATGGGCATTTAGGTTTATTCCACATCTTTACTATTGTGCATAGTGCTGCAATGAACATTCACATGCATGTTTTTTTTTTTTTTTGAGATGGAGTATCACTCTGTTGCCCAGGCTGGAGTGTAGTCATGTGATCTTGGCTCATTGCAACCTCTGCCTCCCAGGTTAAAGTCATTTTCAGCTTCTTTAGTAGCTGGGACTACAGGTGTGTACCACCATGCCCAGCTAATTTTTGTAGTTTTTGTAGAGGTGGGGGTTTGCCATATTGCCCAGGCTTGCCTCTAACTCCTGGGCTCAAGCAATCTGCCCACTTCAGCCTTCCCAAGTGCTAGCATTACAGAAATAAGCCACCATGCCCGGCCTGACTTTTTAATGATGACCATTCTGACTGGAGTGAAATGGTATCTCAGTGTGGCTTTGATTTGCATTTCTCTAGTGATCAGTGATATTGAGCTTTTTTTCATATACTTCTTGGCCGCATGCATGTCTTCTTTTGAAAAGGAGCTGTTTATATCCTTTGCCCTTTTTTTAATGGGGTTGTTTTTTCTTGTAAATTTGTTTTAAGTTGCTTAGAGATGCTGGATATTAGACCTTTGTCAGATGCATAGTTTGCAAATATTTTCTCCCATTCTGTAGGTTGTCTGTTTACTCAGTTGATAGTTTCTTTTGCAGTACAGAAGCTCTTAAGTTTAATTAGATGCCGTTTGTCATTTTTTGCTTTTGTTGCAATTGCTTTTGGCATCTTCATTATGAAATCTTTGCTCATTGCTATGTCCAGAATGGTATTGCCTGGGTTGTCTTTCAGGATTTTTACAGTTTTGAGTCTTACATTTAAGTCTTTAATTCATTATGTGTTGATTTTTGTATGGGTATAAGAAAGGGGTTCACTTTCAATTTTTTGTCTATGGCTAGTCAGATATCCTAGCACTATTTATTGAATAGAGAATACTTTCCCCATTGCTTGCTTTTGTCAGCTTTGTTGAAGATCAGATGGTTGTAGGTGTATGACCTTATTTCTGGGTTCCTATTCTGTTCTATTGATCTGTGTGTCTGTTTTTGTATTAGTATCATGCTATTTTGATTACTGTAGTCCTGTAATATAGTTTGAAGTCAGGTAATGTGATGCCTCCAGCTTTGTTCTCTTTGCTCAGGATTGCCTGGGCTATTTGGGCTCTGCTTTTGGGTTCCAGATGAATTTAAAAATGGTTTTTTTGGCCAGACATGGTGGCTTACGCCTATAATCCCAGCACTTTGGGAGGCTGAGGCGGGTGGATCACCTGAGGTCAGGAGTTCGAAAGCAACCTGGCCAACATGGCAGAACCTCATCTCTACTAAAAACACAAAAACTAGCCAGACGTGGTGGTGGGTGCCTGTAATCCTAGCTACTCGGGAGACTGAGGCAGGAGAATTGCTTGAACCTGGGAGGCAGAGGTTGTAGTGAGCCGAGATTGCACCATTGCACTCCAGCCTGGGCAACAG